CTTGCAGCTAATCTAAACTAGCCACTTCACTAACTTGATGTTAAAAATGCCTTTATGCACGGTGACCTTACTGAGACAGTCTATATGACTCAACCACCTGGATTTGAGTATAAGGGGGAATGTGTGTATCATCTCAAGAAGTCTATCTATGGCCTCAAACAGTCCCCTCGTGCATGGTATGACCAGAAGCCGAGCTAACCACTCTTTTTTAAGAAAACGAAACGTGGTATTGTGATTCTTGTGGTGTATATAGATGATATCATTATCACCGGCAATGACAAAGATGGGATACAAGTTCTAATCCATCACTTGAGTTCTAACTTCCTTACTAAGCATTTGGGCAAACTTCGGTATTTTCTAGGAATTGAGGTGGCTCGGTCGAAGCAAAGCATTAGTCTTTCTCAGCGAAGTATACTCTTGATCTCTTACAGGATACTCGATATCTTGGTTCGAAACCTGTAGCTACACCCATGGAGACTAATGTAAAGCTTAAGGTGGATGATGGTGACCCACTCAGTGATCTAGAGATGTATCGGAGACTTGTAGGTAAACTTATTTACCTCACAATCCCTCGTCTAGACATCTCCTATGCATTCAGTGTTGTGAGCCAGTTCATGACCAGTCCTCGAGTACCTCACATGGAGGCAGTTATACGCATCTTGAAGTATCTTAAGGGTGCTCTGGGACGTGGTCTGCTTTATCGATCTTCTGGACATCTTCGGATTGAGGGATACACAGATGCATATTAGGACAGTTCTCCTTCTGATTGACGGTCCACCACGAGTTACTGCACCTTCATGGGAGGAAATCTAGTAATTTGGAGGAGTAAGAAACGATCAGTTGTGGCTCATTCCAGTACTGAAGCAGAGTATCATGCCATGGAACACACTGCCTGTGAACTTGCTTGGTTGAAAACTCTTTTACAGGAACTTGGGATTTCAGTCCAGTACCCAATCCTCTCTATTGTGACAATCAGACAGCTATTCATATTGCTAGCAATCCAATCTACCATGAGAGGACTAAACACATTGAAGTAGACTACCATTTCATTCGATCTAAAGTTGACTCGAATGAGACCGTTACACCATTTGGTAGACAGCTGCCAGACATTTTCACTAAGGCGCTTCCCAAAAACTCTATTGATTCCATATGTAGCAAGCTGGGAGTTATTGACATTTACTCTTCAGCTTGAGGGGGAGTGTTGTACAGTATTGTATGAGTTGTCACACGTGAACAGTTAGTATTGTATGAGTTATCACCTACCCCTCATAACAATATATAGAATTACCATGTATAGGGTTTACTTGTTCTCCACTCACCTACTCCTGTAACTTTTCCTATATAAACACCATTGTATTACTGACTCAATAACATATACGTTTTCATATATTCTCTTTCTCTCTCTCTTTCAACAAGTTGGAAATTAGGCTTGAGAGATAGAACTACTCTTCTCAAGGAAATTTCAGTCTAGACACCGTGAAACCAACACAAGAACCTAGCTTGTACCCAAACAAACTTGTACTAAAATCTGGATCATTACCATATAAGAAGTCAAAAATTTATACAGAACCCTATCTATTGCAATAGACCCCTTTTTCTAAAAATAAAATAGTCACCAAACTATCTCGCCGTGTCCTACAAGAGTCTCAAACATGTCCATGTTGTGTTTGAGCTGGGTCCATGCCATGTTCCAGCCGTGTCCAACCAATAAAAAATTATTCAAATTTCCAAACAATGCTAGCAATGTTGTACACGTGTTCGACATGTCCCAAATGTGTTCGACATGGCCACGGCACTCCTATAGCAGTGTTCGTGCTTCTTAGCTTGCAAGAAAAAAAATAATTGAAAAATGACCATAGTATTGCAAAATATGCAAACATATAGGAAGTTAAACACTTAAAGATAGAATTCCATGTTAAATTCTTGGGTGCTTGAAGACCAGTTCAAATACCATGAAATCACCATAAAAACCTAGCTTGTGTCAACAGAAAATTTTAGGGAGCTGAATCGAAGGAGGACCATCATATAGCAATAGGTGCAACTATATATGTACGAAGTTCGTAACATGAATTATTTATTATCCAAGCAATACACATGCTTCATATTATTTTTGAAACTTGGGATCAATTGTACAAAAAAATAGAAAGGTCGATGATGATGTAAGTAGTAGAATTGGAATAGGTTGGACAAAGTGGAGGAACGCTAGTGGGGTTTTGTGCGATAAACAAATACCAAATAAGTTAAAAGGAAAAGTATATATAACAGTCATTAGACCGGTTATTTTATATGGAACAGAATGTTGGGCATTAAAAAAGAAACACGAACAACGCATCCATGTGGCGGAAATGCAGATGTTAAGGTGGATGTTAGGAAAAACTACGAAAGATAAAATTAATAATCAAAGGAATAGGGAGAAATTAGGTGTGGCGCTTATTAGCAAGAAAGTAAGAGAGTAGAGTTAGGTGGTATGGGTATATTCAAGGCCGACCTATAGATGCACCCGAGGAGAGGAACATTAATTTCAAAGAAGGTAAGAGACAAAGGGGGACCTCAACTAACATGGAATGAAGTGATAAGAAATTATTTTTAAAATAATAATAATAATTTGCAACTAAATTCAAAAGGGATTGATCTAGTGCATGAAAGGATAAATAAATTATAGGGTAAAGTACAGAGACACCTCCTCAAGTTTGCTAAAAGGACACACAAGTGAAAATTGGCCTATTTTTGGACAATCACACCCTCTTGCGAAATTTGTCATCCAAACAGAGCCTTAAAACGTGTGAAAAGCCCATTTTACCCTTCACTATTTTAATAAATTTAATTATAAAATATCAAAATACATAAATGACCAAATTACCCTCAGCACCCTTCTTTCCTCTCTCCTCCTTCATCTTCCATTTTTTTCTTTTTTACATATGCACGTATATATATATACACAGATACATACATACATATATATATATATATATATATATATATCCACACACACACAAGGCGGCGATGGGCGACGGCGAGCTGTCGTTCTCGGGTTTGAGGTCACGGTAGACGATGCCCATGGTATGGAGGTGTTCAAGAGCGCAGACGATCTCGGTGTAGGGCGGCGACAAGTTTGCCGTTTTTTACGGCGAGTCTGACGACGAAAACGGATCTGGGGCTCTATGGGTAGATGGAATCGAAGGCGGGCCGCGAATCTGGAGTCGGCCAGTCGTCTATGTAGAGGCGGAGGATGACGATGACGCCGAAGGTGGAGGTGAGTCGGCTCGCTATCGTCGTCGTCACCGCTCGTCGGACGGCAGAGGCGATGGCCACTTCAGCCTCCTCGGCCTTGCAAGTGACGCTCGTTGTGCTCATCTGAACCTTCTAAACCTCGCTTCACTGTTCAATCCGTTGCCACATCGTCATCAGAGCTTGGTCCTCACCAGCAATTTCTGTCTCAGAGTTCGTGTCTACCATTCTGTTTTGACCGTCCTTACTCGTTGATTTTATGATAACCATAGTTGAAAAAATTCATACATTCATGCCCATGTTGAATTTGACAAGAGCAATATGCAGTGTAGTTTCTTGTCTAGTTCATCTCGATTGACAGCAGCCTATACCATACATGTGGTTGTTCTTGTCAAATTCAAACACTAAGAGTTTGAATTCGACAAGAACAAAAACGATCTTCAATTCATTGATGTATTATACTATACATACATGTGGTTGTTCTTGTCAAATTCAAACCCTATTCCTCCTCCATTTGGTAAATACACGATACTGCTTTTTGTTCAATTGATTGATGTATTATATATATACCATACATGTGGTTGTTCTTGTCAAATTCAAACACCTTTCCTCCATTTTTTTTTACTTAACTTTTATCATTTCCATTGTCAATTCACAGTGTTTGATTTTATCCCAAATTGGCGCATGCATTGGTTGATTCATCTATATATATACCTACATACATTCTTTTAGCCCATGTTGTTGAATTTGGATTTTGTCAGAGGTGAAAAAAATTCATGCCCATGTTGTTGAATTTGGATTTTGTGATGATATTCACGGTTGGGTAACAGAGCTGGGTGGGTTGTTCTCCGAAATTGCAGGTATCCAATTGAGCACCTAATCAAAAGACCCAATTTCATGTTGTTTGGATTTTGTAGTGTTGGGTTTTGCTATACAAAAATTTGTGGGTATATATATATGTGTGTAATTTGAACCCCTATATATATGTGTGGCTTTGTGTGGTGGGCTGGTGGCGGTGAAACGGTGGAGGGGAAGAGATTGCTTTTTATTTTTTTATTTTTTTTATGCAAAAATTATTTATGAGGGTAGATTGGTCTAATTTATTGTCAAAGGGTAATTTGGTCAATTTTTAATGTCAGGGGTTTCTTTGTCCATTTTTGAAACTTCAAGGGGTGTCTTCGTCCAAAAAACTAGCAAGTTTCACTTGTGTGTCCTTTTGGCAAACCTAAGAGGGTGTTGCTGTACTTTACCCTAAAATATAAATGAGAGCATTTGAACATCTGATGGTAATCAAATGTTCCATTATGTCTGAAGCAACAAGACGTTCACTGATTATGAGTCCAGATCTCCAGTCAGATAGGTTAGGAATTGAATGGCTATGCCCTAGAAATGATTTGTAGTGGAACCCTAACCGAGACCCATAAGGAAATAGAAATGACCAATCAACTCACTGCTCTCTTGCCTTTTTCCTTTTGAGAGAGAGGTAGGTCAGCCGTCGGAGGTTTCAACAAATCATAATTGAAATGAGCCCTTTGCATTTTGATAATATGATGACTCTAAAAGTCGATCTCATAATTTCAATACTAAAAGTATAGTAGCAACTATATTGATGACTGTACATCACTAACTTGAGTGTGTTTCAAAGCAAATCATAAGTAACATGAAAATCAATTATATATATAAGCTTTTGACATACCAAAGAAAACCGATAATGAATTAAATAAGTGGGTCAGAATGATATAAGTAGTTAAGGCAATAGAGAAGGAAATTACGTCAGTTCATCAGTATGCTCCAGTTTCCGGCTTCCTTCAATTGCTGAGACTTTGTCTGGTGTTTCATATAGGAGAGTACTGTCATTAGGGACCTCCAAAGTCCACTTGCGGAATGATGCAACCAGAACCTGGCACATTCTTGTAATAGGGCTCCCCCCTGGTTTCTGAAATCTATAAAGACCTGTGCCTGAAAAGAAACTTAAGATGGCAATGCCCATAAACAATGCAGGAATGCCAAACCCAAGGCCCCACCCAGCATTTTCTTGAATCCACACAATTAAACTACTTGATACAAGAGCACCAATGTTGATTGAAAAATAAAACCAATTGAAGAATGATCCCTTCTTTACCCTCTCTTTAGGATCTGTGTCATCAAACTGATCTGCCCCAAAGGATGAAACACATGGTTTGATCCCACCAGTTCCTAGTGCAATCAAATATAGTCCCAAGAAGAATACTGCATACTGAGCAGGAGTGGCTGAAGGGCATACTGTATCTACACATTCGGCGGGTTTAAAAACTGGGACAGATGCTGAGAGAGTCAATGTGCACATTCCCTACAAGAAGCAACAAAAATTTGCATATTCAGCAAAGTAATAAAAGAAATTCATAAAAGGCAATCAGTGAAATGTAGAGAAGATAGAATTATTCTCATGCCTCAGCTTAACTGTAATTTAAAAGAGCTACATAAAATCAGAGACATAGGGTCAGAAGTTCCATTCCAGAACACTTAAATTTAGCATTTTGGAGAATTTCTTGTTATTTACTTATGACTTTTTCATTTGAGGGAAACGAGTATGTGAACCACACACACACACAAAAAGCTGAGTTCTTAAAAGAGACAAGTTATAGTGAAAAACAGCTGATCAGTACCATATTTGTTCCAAAAGTTTCCTCTCATTTTCTTATTAGATTTTATTAAATATCCATTTCTTTGATTTTGTTCTTTTAATTTGATCTCGAGTAGGCATGCCTCCATCATACTATACTCTTGGGTAATAAGAGGACAGCTAACTGATTCTAGTGACAATCCACCGTCATAGAGATCAGTTACAAATGATAGATAAAAGTAAAACTAGACGGATCCAGCTAAATCATTCAGCACATGCTATATGAACACCATGGCTAAAGTTCAAAAATAAACAAACAAAATAATCATCAAATCAAGTTGAACTGAAATGAATAAAAGAAAAAATCAAATATCTTCAAATTCTTATAAACTATTCTTAAGTTTCCAACTCTTGAAGTATAGAAGATCAAGATTGGTACTTTGCAATTCCCATACGTTTGTAGCTAAGTATAGAAGGTCACAACTGGTGATTTTCTAAAATACAAAAAATCCTCAATGGATTGATATTTAAAAGAAAATGACTTGAAATTTTATCAAAACTCAATTATTTTTCCGTAAGATCAAAAATCAAAGCCTGGCCCCAGAATCAGCTAAAGCTCATTACTAGGTCAATCACCTTGTAGAACTTAATATTCCAATGGGATACAACAGGTAATATTATGTAATACTAATAATTATACTCCACATCTCTATGAATCTGTTGTTAAAGAACATCTCTAAACAAAACTGCTCGATCACATTGCACATAAGGAAAAAAAAAAAAAAAAAACTTTTGAGCACAAAAACTGAGATGATTTACTGCCTGTCCTCTTTTTACTGTTTACTTTTTATTCTTTTAGGCGATTGATTTACTGCATGTCCATACAAATAAGGATCAACCAACAATAATAAAAGAGGTTAATTATGTATCACTACTCAGTTCTTCATGAAGTAAGTAAATATAAAGGAAATTATCACTTAGATAATAATTACGATGAAATAAATTGTGGAAAAGGCAGCAATTGTCCAATATCTTCCCCAACAAGCATCTGCCAAGACAGCTCCAATAAGGGGTGTAAGGTAGCAAGTCCCTTGCCAAGTGGTAACGTTTCTTGCAGCAGAGACATTTCCTTCGTGTAACGTTTTGGTGAGGTAACTAACAAGATTAGTAGCAATCCCATAGTACGCTAATCGTTCGCAACATTCAGTACCTGTGTTTCAATTCAAAGAACTATTACATAAGAAATGGACTATCAGATACATGAAATAAATTTAAAGAATCATTATTAACTAGTGAATACCAAGAATGAAGGGGCATGCTCTCCAATTTCCAGTGTTGCTCTTCAAAACAGGCTTCCCTTTAATGTCAACCGAACCATCTCCTGTGTATAGTCCATTGTTTTCATTCTGAAAACAAAAGGCGAGGTAAGAGAGAGAACCCAATCATTCAACAATATGAAACTTGCAGAGCAAAAGTCTCACTATGAGAAGAACGCAAGTATAAAATAATTCTAACAAAAATAGAAGATAAATGATTTACTTTAGATGAACCATCAATCTCGCTGTTGATGAAGAGAACAAAATAAAGTAGGTTCTCAAAGAAAACTACACCATGTAAGGTACTTGAGAAAAGAACACTACCATGACTAGGTTCTCAAAGAAAACTGAACTTTGTAAGGTAATATGTGCATTCACAGCAAAACCACCAAGGATGCTAAAGTAAATTATTTGTTTGCTCCCCAAGCTTCCACCCAATTAACTCGAATTGCTAATTCCAAAAATGGACTTCAAAACTAAACGTCCACCCTTAATTCCCTATTACCAACATTGTGATGAAAAGATATCAAATTCTATTCAAATTCATAATTTCCAGAATACAAGAGTATGCTTATAAAGTATGTACAGAAGAATCTATTCTTAGAAGGTACACAAATGTAGGCTAGAATTCTTGGAAATACATAATCAGTGGAAACCAAATAAATACATAAAATCCCTATAATCTCTCCACAAGATCCTCTGTTAACAACTCACGCCAACACCCCTCCTCAAGTTGGTGCATGGATGTCTCCAATGCCCAATTTGTCCAGTGAGTTATAAAACACCTTGCTTGAGACGGCCTTTGTAAGGATATCTGCCAACTGATCTTCTGATTTTACAAAAGGAAATTGAACTATCTTAGCTTCAAGCTTTTCCTTGATAAAATGTCGGTCCACTTCAACATGTTTTGTTCGGTCATGTTGAACTGGGTTTTGTGCAATCTCTATAGCCGCTTTATTATCACAAAATAGATTCATTGCAGAACTGGATGAATAGCCAATTTCTTCCAGTAGCCTCTTTAACCAAAGAAGCTTGCACAGTCCTTTAGCCATGCCTCTAAACTCAGCTTCTGCACTAGATAATGCAACCACCTTCTGTTTCTTGCTTCTCCAAGTAACTAGATTGCCACCCACGAAAGTGAAATATCCTGATGTAGACTTTCTGTCAGTAATACTCCCAGCCCAGTCAGCATCCGTATAACCATCAATGTTTAAATGATTATATTTCCTGAACATGAGTCCTTTTCCTGGGGAAGACTTCAAGTACTGTAAAATTCGAAGCACGGCATTCATGTGATCGTTATTAGGATTATGCATGAATTGAATCATTAAACACACAGCATAGGCAATATCCGGTCGTGTATGAGACAAGTAGATTAGCTTTCCCACAAGTTGTTGGTACCTTTCTCTATTCGTGGGTGTTTGGTTCGAGTGTTCTCCCAATCCATGATTTTGAACCATTGGCGTTTCTGCAGGCTTACAATCAAGCATTCCTGTTTCAGCTAGCAAATCAAGTACGTATTTCCTTTGTGATAGAAATATGCCTTGATTTGACCGAGCTACTTCGATACCCAGAAAGTATTTTAATCCCCCAAGGTTCTTCATTTCAAACTCGGTTGCCAGATGCTTCTGCAAACTAGAGATTTCCTTCTCATCATTTCCTGTAATTATCATATCGTCAACGTAAATTATTAGAGCCGTTACCATCCCTTGTCGATGTTTCAAGAACAGAGTATGATCTGAATTGCTCTGTTTGAAGCCATGCTTCCTCATAGCCAAGCCAAATCGTCCAAACCACGCTTTAGGTGATTGCTTTAGTCCATAAAGTGCCTTCTGTAGTTTGCATACCATTCCAGTTTGTGATGAGGTTGTAAAGCCTGGTGGAATGTCCATGTACACTTCTTTTGCTAGATTCCCATGAAGAAACGCATTTTTTACATCAAACTGATGTAGTGGCCAATCTAAGTTTGCAGCAAGAGACAGCAATACTCTGACCGTATTCAACTTTGCTACTGCTGAAAACGTCTCTTGATAGTCTATACCATATGTCTGAGTATATCCTTTCGCAACAAGTCTCGCCTTGTATCTCTCTACTGACCCATCTGCCTTGTGTTTAATGGAGAACACCCATCTACATCCCACCGTTTTCTTTTCTTTGGGTAGCGACATAAGCTTCCACGTATCATTTTTCTGCAAAGCTGTCATCTCTTCAGTTATTGCTTGGATCCATTTGGGGTTGTTTAAGGCCTCTTGTACTGTACTTGGAACATGCTCAGATATAGCTTATGCACAAAAGCTTTGAGGGATTGTGATAATCTTTGGGTGCAAACATGGTTGGCAATCGGATACTTCTTCTTCTTTTCTCCATGGTCTGGTGAGTATCTATTTGGTGGCTTACCACGGTTGTATCTAAAAGGTAATTTGTAGCCAACAAAATCATCTATAGTATTACTAGGAGAAGAGTTTAGAGATTGTACCTTAGGAGTATTCTCAGGAGAGTGATCGTTTGGTACTAAAGAATGAGGAGTGGGCTACTCTTGCTAAGTGGGTTGCTTTTGTTCACTCCTAGCCTTGGCATCATCATTTTCTTCTCCTTGTCCTATAGAAGCCTCTGGGAGTGGGAGAGTTCCAACCAGATCAGTGTCATCATGCCTTAGTTGAATTTCATCAATTTGATTTACCTCCAAGTTTGTATCTTCAAAGCTTGGCCAGTTCTCCCAATTGTCCACATTCTGTTCCACATAATAGTTCCCCCTGAAGAGAAGAATGGGAACCTTGTTTTGAAAAGAAAGTTTCAGATTCGAGAAAAGTGACATCCATCGTGGTATAAAGACGTCTGGTAGTGGGATCATAGCACCTATAGCCTTTCTTATGTGTTGTGTACCCCAGAAAAACACAACAAACAGCACATACATCAAGCTTTGTTCGCTGGTTTTTATGAAGATGAACATAAGCAAAACAACCAAATATTCGTGGCGGAAGCATCAAGACAGAAGGCAATGACACATGATGAGCAAGAGCTTGTAGTGGAGTTTCAAAGTTCAAGACTCGAGATGGCATTCGATTCAGCAAGTAAACAGCAGTACCAACTGCATCTGCCCAATACCGTCGGGGTGCATGTGCTGCTGTTAAAAGGGCTCGGGCTGTTTCGAGGATATGTCTATTTTTTCGCTCCGCAACACCATTTTGTTGTGGTGTTTGAGAACAAGTGGTTTCATGACAAAGACCATGTGCTTGGAAATATTCTCGTAACTCATTATTGTCATTCTCTCCGCCATTATCAGATCGAAGAATTTGGAGTTTAGTAGAAAATTGTGTCTTGATCATATTATGGAAAGAACGAAAAATTCCAAACACCTCATTCTTATTTTTCATCACATAAAGCCAAGTCATACGTGTGCAATCATCTACAAAGATCACAAACCATCTAACTCCTGAAGAAATTAAGATGGGACCCGGGCCCCAAACATCCGAGTGAATTAACATAAATGGGGTCTCACATTTTTTAAAACTTATTGGATAAGATACACGATGACTCTTGGCTAGAATGCAAGTTTCACACCTAAAATCAGACTCATGTAAATTGGAAAACAAACTTGGAAACAAACGCTTTAAGTAAGAAAACGATGGATGCCCCAGTCGACGATGCCACAACCAAATCTGTCGTTCTTTGTCACCAGTTCGACGCACATTATTTGCCCGGCCGAAGCTTAAATCATCCATGTAGTACAACCCTCCTCTTTTAGTACCACGACCAATAATCTCCTCCTCTTTTAGTACCACGACCAATAATTTCCTTGGTGAGAATATCCTGAAACAAACAGAAACTCGGATACATTAGTGCATAACAATTCAGTTCCTTAGTAGCTTGGCCTATAGATAATAATTTATTCGAAAGAGATGGAACTAATAAAGTATTTGATAGTGAAAAGGGGGGGTTCCAGCCCCTGTAGCTGGGTATGTCACTCCATTAGCATTAGCAACACACGTCCGTTTTTGTTGAGTGGTTTCGACAAAATCTTGTGGATCAAATGTCATGTGATCGGTTGCCCCTGAATCTACAATCCAACCACGATTACCAGGATCATTAAGAGCCACGGATTTGTTTGCAGCAGCAGGAGAGGAGTCCTCTTGTAGTATAAGGGATAGTTGAGATTCAGTGTTCACGAGTGCGACTCAGCCATGAGTCTCGCCTGCACCAGTTTCACGCTTCTTTTTTTTCTTAAGTTCGTGCCACCACTTTGGATATCCATGTAGTTTAAAACAGATGTCTCTGGTATGTTTCATATGCCCACAGTGTGTGCAACCCCCTCCCTCTGCTTGTGACTTTGACTTTGTCCATGTGTTAAGCTTTCCATTGGACAAAATCTGAAGTGAAGGTTGCTGTTGTGATTTTTGTCCACCTTTTGAGAGCATAATAGCACTGGGTGTGGTATCTCCTTTTGTCAACATCACTGCTTGCCTTAGATCTTCCCGGCGAACATGTGCATAGGCCTGCTCTACTGTAGGAAATGGCTGAATTTCTAGCACATCTCCTCGAATCTTGTCAAGACGATCATCTAGTCCATCCAAGAATGTATAAACTCTATCCTCCTGTAAAATGGAATCATACCTCTGTATATCAATTTCACATTGCATCGGATTCGGGCGGCGAAAATCGATTTCTCTCCATAGGCCTTGAAGATTGTTGTAGTACGTCTCGATAGATCCTCCACCTTGTTTGAGCCTAGTCACCTTCCTCTTGAGATCATAAACTTGCGAGGTGTCAGCGCCATCAAAATATGTTGTAGCGATTGCATCCCATACTGCTTTCGCCGTTGGGAATCTATTGTAGTTGCCGATCAGTTTTGGATCCATTGAATTAATCAGCCATCCCTTCACCACTGCATTTTCAGTTCTCCATTTTCTAAAAATAGGATCACTCTCTCTGGGTTGTAGAAGATCCCCATTTATATATCCCAACTTGCCTTTGCCTGAGATGTACATCTCAACAACCTGGGACCAAAGTCCATAATTGGTGTCGTCCAACTTGATGCCAATTGGTGCAGCAACAGATTCGTGACTCAGTGAGGTTGGTGTCTGGTTCAACATTTGTGAAATTCTGGAGGTCAAGTCTGCAAGAATTGGATTCTCGCCTTGGGAACTCTCTATTAAGGGAGTACGTTCTGTCATTGATCTCAATTTTTTTTTTTTTAATCCACAGTCCTAGAATCTACCGTGGATAGCAGGACTCGGCAAAGAGAAGACGAACCGGCTGTAGAGCTCGGCCGTGAGCTCCGGTCGTGGAAGGCGACCGGCGATGGTGCTGCGGTGGCTGGTCGTCCTCAGATCGGCGACTGGTTTGGGTTTTTGGTTGCTGTCCGGCGCGGCGAGGAAGGGCGACGGCGTGACAGATCCGGAGATGGTTCACGTAGTGGACGTTGATGACTACAGCGACATCGACTCGGTCTCGTCGGTGACGAGTGATGACGACGACGAGTCCTGGGGCATCGTTTGTTTCACTCATCGTCGGCGAATCTGGATTTCGCAGCGGCGGAGCTGAGTTTCGCGGCGGCGGATCTAGGCATTCAAATATTTCACGAGGACAGCGGGCTTGCTGGCTCCTTTTCCGGCGGTGGATCCTCGGTGTATGGCAGCGGTAGAATGGAATCTTGCGGGCTGGTAACTGGAGATCCGGTTTCTAAATTTTGTGATTTGCAAAGAGATGGCAAGTTCTGTTGATTACAGAGAGGTGATAGATATCTGGGTTTTGATTTTTTGAGAAAAAAAATATTTTTTTCCGGAACAATGAATCAAATGGTTTTTTTTTTTTTTTTTTTTTTTTTTAACCACGCTCTGATACCAACTGTAACGGGTGGGCGCTTACCCATTTACCCAAAAACTCGAACTGTTAGGTAGTGCTACATACCTACCCATTTATAGATTCTTCTGTACATACTTTATAAGCATACTCTTGTATTCTGGAAATTATGAATTTGAATAGAATTTGATATCTTTTCATCATGGTATCAAAGCTAGACCCAATCCTTGATCCGATGTCACGCCAAGCGCCCGGCCCGGAAGGCGTCAGGGTGAGCCACCCCGGGTAGGCAAGGTGGCCCGACCGTAACGAGGGCGTTGCAAGTTCGGGTGGGGGAGAATGTTACAAAGGAAGACTTGTCCCACATCGGATCCGGATGGGAAGTGACATGGGTATAAATGGGTGGGTATGCAGCACTACCTAACAATTCGAGCTTTTGGGTAAATGAGCAAGCGCCCACCCGTTACAGTCATTGGTTGCCATTTTTATTTATCCCCGTATAAATAACACAGCTAGAACCCCTTACTTATCCAATAAAAAATAAAAAAATACAAATAGCTAGAACCCCTATATCATTTCATTCATGTTAGTTTTAGAAGTTATCACCCCTCCTATGGGACCTCAGATTGCCCACCCGTTACAGTCATTGGTCGCCATTTTTATTTATCCCCGTATAAATAACACAGCTAGAACCCCTTACTTATCCAATAAAAAATAAAAAAATACAAATAGCTAGAACCCCTATATCATTTCATTCATGTTAGTTTTAGAAGTTATCACCCCTCCTATGGGACCTCAGATTTTCGATCATAATGCAGGAAAATCCTAATCCATGAATCAATAAAAGATTAAAATACACTGCAAAATGATCAAAATCCATCAAAATATGGGCTTGCTTGGTTTGTAACTCTGAAAACAGTTCTCAAGAATTTAGAGAACTATAAAAGACAATCCTATGAAAACAGGCATTTTTATAACTGAATTTTCATAAAACAGTTTTCAGAAAACTAAACCACGCAAATTTTTTTTCTAATATATGCATATCCATTAAAAAAAGTAAAATTAGAGGAACCAAACTCAATTAAAGGAAGAAAAATTGACAGAACCCAGAAGAAGTTGCAAGTTATTTATCACTCTAATAAAATGAAGTGAAGTTGAAACATAGCCTGATTCTCCATTTCCAAGTGCTAGCTTACAGATAAAATGTTAAAAAATAAAAAAATAAAAATAAAAATAAAAAAAATAAAGAAAAATTATGACAACTTCATCAACCCCAAGTAAATGAATCTCCTATCATGGGTCACAAAACGAGTGAATGGTATAAGACAATTAAAAGATTCAAATTCAATGTTACAAGTAAATACGAAGTTGAACACATCCTGTAAATTCGAATATTGATCCGATGAAATTAAAAAAAATTAAAAAATCTTTATAACCACTCTAGAATTTCAATTGTGAATTTGAGGGTCTACACATAACACCACAATTCCAAACTAACAAAAAAAAAAAGTTCAAATTCCAATTCAAAATTTCAAGACCCAAAAAACAAAACTGAATTGCCAAGCTGACAAAACCAAAGCAACATATCCTCAAAATCACCAATCTCCCTTTTCCATAATTCCATAAGAACATGATCTGATTAAACTGGTGACATCAATTAAAGAAACGACCTTCATTAATCATTTGGAAACCTAGCGAAAATAGAAAGTCAGAATTGGAACTTGATCCGCATTGAATACATGAATGGTAGGTATAATTACAGCATATACAAGCACAGATAGAGAGGGCTCATCAATATGATATATATATATATATGTGTGTGTGTTTGTGTATGCATAGAGAGATAGACGGAGAGGGTAGAAAGAAACCTGTAAAAGTCCCTCCTCTAAAACCAGTCTCTCCTCTTCCTGAGTTCCCATAAGCCCAAATCACACCAATCTCTCTCTCTCTCTCTCAAACTATTGAATTGGATTCTAAGGATATAAGATGATTAATTGATCAGGTTTGGGGTATCTAGTGACGTAAAAGCTTTTATGACCTCGGAGTCGTTGGGTTTAGTTTCACCGGTAATGTGATTTTCACGGAACTTCAGGATAAGTACTTTGGACTTTTCAATAATAAAAATACAAGTTTAATTCTTCGCACAAAAATAAATAATAAAAAGTAACTGTTCTAACATATAATTTTAAAAATAACTTTAACCTCTTCTATTATTGTATACTTTGACCCAAATATATTTAATGGTTATTATATTTATATTTATTTTAATTTTACAGTTCAACACATGAACAAATAGCATTTTTGTTTTCTAATGGCTTTCTCATTTTTAAGTAAATTTTTAATATGATAATAGCATATAAGACTTAAGTTACATAAAGCGGGGGTAAGACGGAGAGCAAATTCGAGAGCGAGAGTGGCAAAATTAAGTCATAAGCGATGAGAATTTGAGCTAAATCGCTCTGCGCAGACGTGAGTGTTGAAAAAGATTGTGTGATTAGGATAAAATTGTTAAATTCAAAAGAGTTAAATATAATTATTTCAAAATTTAAAAAATAAAAATAAAAAAAATTACAAAGTAAGATACGATGTAGAACATTAAAGCAAGATTGCCTCTTCTTTACCAAAGGAAATCATAATGTCACGGGCCTAGAGATTTGGCGCAGCGGCACGGCCCGTGCGGCACCAAGGCGTTGTTTCGGCTCGCGCAAGCGCCCTGGTCAGCCACCACGACCTGCCCTCCCAAGGATACATGCTGACTGGTTTCGGCCTGCCATGGCCTCGTCAGGGGAACGGCTCCAGCTCCCGACCAGTTTGTGCAGGGATGGCCAACTCCCTTCTTCATAGTCAAGTCCACGACCAGCGACAAGCACCTCGAACTGAACCGAGTCGACCTGCCTGAACTCTGAAGAGGTACCATCCTGTGCTCCTGCACGCCCCTTCCCTGGAACCATTCCCAGTCAAACTCTGCTCTTTGCCAACCAGCATGCGTGTCTTCCATCCTCCAAGCGTCTTAGGAATCACTTCGTGACATTCTCCCCCACCCAAATCCTGCGACGTCCTCGTCGCAGTGCGGCGCTTCACTACTGCGTCCACTCCCTTCCAAAGTCTGCCTCCATGCGGTATGCTCGCCTTCCCACCATCGCTTCCTTGTGCAGCTCCCTGCACTGCACTCGCCCAATGATAGGCCTCGGACCAAGGGGACGTCCACTCCTCAAGGACGTGACTCTTCTCCGTCATGCCGCCTCCGCGACATCCCGAGCAAGCAATGGCCTTCTGCCGACTTGATGCTCGCCCTTCACCATGGTTTGCATCACCCAAGGACTAAGCACGAACTTTGGTGCGCGCGGCCCTCCGGCCCTTCAATGCGCAACTTCAACGGACGCTTCTTCCTAGGGAGATGGAGGCTCTCCCCCCCAACTGCATTGATTCCTCCTCATCGACGCAACTTCAATGCACCGTCTTCATTCTCTGACCCCTCCCGGACCGACAAGGGGGCACCCCACCGTGCTTTACCCCAAGTCCTGCTCTGATACCATTTGTCACGGGCCTAGAGATTTGGCGCAGCGGCACGGCCCGTGCGGCACCAAGGCGTTGCTTCGGCTCGCGCAAGCGCCCTGGTCAGCCACCACGACCTGCCCTCCCAAGGATACATGCTGACTGGTTTCGGCCTGCCATGGCCTCGTCAGGGGAACGGCTCCAGCTCCCGACCAGTTTGTGCAGGGATGGCCAACTCCCTTCTTCATAGTCAAGTCCACGACCAGCGACAAGCACCTCGAACTGAACCGAGTCGACCTGCCTGAACTCTGAAGAGGTACCATCCTGTGCTCCTGCACGCCCCTTCCCTGGAACCATTCCCAGTCAAACTCTGCTCTTTGCCAACCAGCATGCGTGTCTTCCATCCTCCAAGCGTCTTAGGAATCACTTCGTGACAATAAGGACTAGGGAATCAAATATTAAAATGAGAGAAATATATATATACAATAAAGTCCAGTAATCTATTTTTTGGAAAGAAAAATAAAACAATATCTTTATATCACTGCCTTCCAATATTTCAATCAAACTCTTTTTTTTTAAGCAAATAAACTCTAATGTCAACATAGAAAACATGATCAAACATCATAATACAATAATAGGAAAATTTATGTTGCATTTTATTTAGTTTGAATTTTTTTTTAAAAAAATAATAATAGTGAAGTCTTATTTTATTATTTGGATAGACGAATATTTTTTTAAATAAAAAAAGGTCTCTGTTTACCTAAAATGTCCACCTTATATTAAATAATAAAGAGTTTCTCTCCAGTTTATTTTTAGTATAATAAATTAATGATGTTATCATATACTTAATAAACTAATAATAAAATCAACCGGTCAAATTAAAAATAAAAAAGTGGTATTATTTTTCCCTCGTAATTAAACTCCTGCCTGACCTTGATTCCTTGGTTATAGACAAAGGTCAGGCAGAGAGTTTAATTTCCGAAAAAAAAAAAAAAAAAGGTCAGGGAGTTTTAATTACGAGTGTCATGTTCCTTTTCATGTGACGTAGTGCTGAAGCCACTTGGACTGGTTCGTTGGAAATAATTGGAACTCCATCACGTGGGTGACGATGTTGTAACTGATTTTCTCTTGGTGGACTGGTGGGTAGGTTTTGAAGTCGTAAGTTAGCTAATTATAAAATAAAAATAAAAATCAAATCAAGCCAAACCAAACAGCAAGGAAGATATATACTCCCTTTTTTGAGAAATTGGGTATTATGGGTCCCAGTAACACATAAATAAAAAGTTAATTAAAAATGATATAAAGTTAACACATTTATTTGTGTTGCTTTGTAACAGAGGTGTGACTAATTCAGATCATACAATAATTTCTTCTCTTTTTTTTTCAAATTTTTTTGTCATCTTCCTATTTTTGAATGTTCCAAAATTCTTATTTCTTGGTACACAAAAATAGAATGAAATAAGATGTCATTCCAAAAAAAAAAAATTTAAGCCCTCATATTTTAAGTCCAAAAATCACCACCGCAACCTCCACTGCTTTCCACCACCGCCACCTCAACTACCTTCCACCATCGCCACCACCATGCCCACCACCGCCACCTCCATTACATTCCACCACTGTCATTGTCACTACCACATCGTCGTTGTCGTCGTACCCATCACCACTACCCCCACCTTCACTGCCTCCCACCCCCACCTTCACTGCCTCCCATCGCCACCACCACTGCCTCCCCCACAGTCATTACCACCACCACGACCACTACTATTGCCACCTTCCACTTACATGTGATACCCCTCGACTCGGAGACATGGGTTGATCAGGCCCAAGCCCAAACCCGAGAGAATATCAAACAATTAATATATAAACAAGTAGGAATACAAAATGAATTAAAGAATAAATAACAAAGCTGAAGGAATTACTAATATAAAATCCTCAAAATGATAATGAATAAAAATAATCCAACTCTCCAAAACCTCCAAGAGTACAACTCAGGAATCCATCTAGTGGACACCTAAACAAAATCTCAACTGAAACTGAATAACTGAAAATAAAATCACAAACTAAAACATAAAGAAAAGTCCTACATAAACAGATGAATGAGTGATTGTCTCCGATAAGCACGATCAAGCTTTAAGGCTGGAATCGCCCGGTACCTGAAAAAAATACAAGAGTGGGTCAGGCCCACGAACAAGTTCTATTCTAACTGCAATTCATATAGTGACCTGATACGCAGATATGGTGGGTTTTGAGGATGTCGCACTCCGAAAAGTTTATTTAATGTGGCCAAATTTTACATTTAGAAATTGCCACTACTACCTTTCACTAAAAATATAGCTAGGGTGAGTAGGGATCGTCCCAAGGGATTGAGGGTCGCACTAAGTTGAGGAATCAAAATTAGGGTTAGTAGATCGAGTGATCAAAATAGTGGTTGGTTGGTTGAATTAAACTAGATGCAATTTAAATTAAAGTAAACAATAATGCAATAGAGAGAATAAAAGAGAAAGAGATCTTGGAGTTTAGAGATCACCACTAAGCATAGCTTTTCTACACCTTTAATGAATGATTAATGAGGGGAAGAACATGTATTGCAACAAAGTATGTGTGTGTGGTTGTTTCAATAAGCATGGATGACAAATTAAGCATATATTGTCTAAACAACATGGTGGATAACACAACATATCCAATTAAGCCATTAATCCTTTCTTTAAGCTCACAATCCAAACACATCACAAGGTTAGAGATACATGTTACTTGCTTTCATAAGTGTGGAACATCAACAACAAGCATGGATTGTCCTCCCATTTAACAACTACACTACAACTAAGCTAATGATATGAAATTAAGCTAATTAAACTAAGGGAGAAGTATAATCCATCAAGAAATGAGTATGAACCATCAAATAAACCACAAGAACATGACATTAAGCACTATGTCTTGATAATCTCTAGATCTATAGCATCAACACACATAGACATGTATCAATAGCACAAGAATTAGAGACAAACACATGAACATCTATTCTAGCATACATAGACATATGGATAGAATGAAATGATCAATTGGAAGCATTAAACTACATAAATCATTGAAGAAACAAGATCTATATATATATAAGTGTCAAAACATGAATCACAATACAAATCCCCTCAAAATACATAAATCAAGAAGTAGAAAGCATGCTTAGGGCTAACTTTAGCCCCAAAAGGATGTCTAGCCACTCATGGATGATGTCCTCTAACCCTCAAGGGCAAGCTCTATGGAAGAAATCTGCTCCTTGGTTGATGAAGAGTCTCTAATGGTGTCTCTAGCTCCTCTTCTCCTTTTCTTCCTCACTAAGAGTTCTACAATGTATGATATGATATGATGTAAAAAGTAATCCTTATACTTATATAAGTAGGTCAAATGATACCCAAAATAAGCTGGGTCATACAACAAATATTCCCCAATGATTAGATAAAGGACAACTTTTGTGAGCTGAAAATTTAACTTTTTCGCACTAGAGGAAGTTCGATTGATTGAACCTTGGACTTAGATCAATCGAACATGGCTGAGATCTATCGAACTTAG